AACAGCAGGTGTCAACACAAATGAAATAAAAAGACTATTTGCAGAAATAATAGCAAAAAATTTCCCAGGCATGGTAAAAGAATCAGACATACAGATAAGTGAAGCATGTAGAACTCCAGTTAATCATAACCAAAATAAATCTACACTCAGACATATAGTGATCAAGATCGAAGAAACTCAACAAAAGCTCAGAATATTAAAAGCTGTTACAGAAATGAAACAGATCACCTATAAAGGAAAGCCTATCAGAATCACGGCAGACTTCTCAACACAAACCATCAAGGCAAGAAGAGCTTGGAGTGAAGTATTTCAGGTACTGAAAGAAAACAACTTCCAACCCAAATTGATGTACCCCGCAAAGCTATCTTTCAAATTTAATGGAGAAATGCAATATTTTCATGATATAGAACAACTGAAGAAATTCATGAGCACCAAACCAATCCTACAAAGACTACTAAAAGATATTCTAGAAAGAGATAAAACAGACTGCAACTTCAAGAACAACAACAGAAAGGAACCACCAAGCACAGCAAGCAATTAAACAGAGGGAAAAAGGAGAATCCAACAGCAGGAAAATACCAGGACAAAGATAAGCTAGTACATGTCAGTTATAACCATCAATGTAAACAGTCTCAAGACACTCACCAAAAGAAGCAAACTAGCAGAGTGAATCAGGAAACAAAATCCAGCTATATGCTGTATACAAGAAACATATTTAACTCAAAAGGAAATTCACAGACTGAAAATTAAAGGATGGAAAACAATATTCCATGTGACAGGAACCCAGAAAAAAGCAGATGTAGCTATTCTGTTTGCAGACAACGTGAACTTCAAACCAAGAACAATCAAAAGAGATAAAGAAAGTCACTACATACTTGTGAGGAGGGAACTTCAAGAGGAAGAGATAATAATTGTAAACATCTATGCACCAAGGGGCTGGGGATTTAGCTCAGCAGCACAGTGCCTGCCTGGCAAGCATGAGGTCATGAGTTCAATTCCCAGTACCGGAAAAAAACAAAAGAACAACAAAAAATCTATGCACCAAATATAGGAACACCCACGTATATAAGACAAATTCTAACAGAAATGAAAATTGAAATAAATAGCAACACAATTATAACAGGGGACTTTAACACACCATTGTCACAAAGAGATAGATCAACTAGACAAAAAATTGGGAAAGAAATAACAGAACTTAACCAAAAGTGTGAACATATGGACTGACTAGACCTTTACAGAGTGTTCCACCCAACAGCATCAGAATACACATTCTTCTCAGCTGCACAT